ATGGTCGGCCAAGGAAAACAACGGTGACAGATGACCGATATATCGCACTGCACGCAAAAAGAGATCGAAACTAGACAGTGGGCAAGAGTGCTCAGAGTTGTGCGTGGCAGTCGGGCAACAGATGTCCCCGTTTACTGTAGCCAGACGGCTTCATTAAGGTGGCCTATTATCCTACCATCTCAGACGCTGCATACCATTGTAGCAGTTCATCGGCGGCACCGTTTGCAGTGGTGTAAGAGAACGCAAAGACTGGACACCTCATCAGTGGAGTCACGTCTTCTTTGCCGATGAGAGTCTGTTCAATCTGACGCACGATTCTAGGCGTTTGTTGATATGAAGAGACGTAGGGACAAACATCAGGAAACTAACATCAGGAAAAGAGACAAATGCGGTGATCCTGGCTTGCGTGTATGGGGAAACATGATGATGAACGGACAGAAAGAAAACTCTCCACTTTCGACCAAAGAATCATTTACCGAAGATTATTAATTTGATGAAGTTATCTTCCCCCACGTGCGTCTTTTCTGGGGTGCCATTAATCCTCAGTTTGTTTTTATAAATGATAAAGCAAGGCCAAACAGGACTTATGCTGTTGATGAGCTCCTGAAAAGTAAAGATATCCACAGAATGGATTGGCCAGCGTGCTTCCTTGATTTAAATTCCACTGAACATGTATTGGATACTTTCGGAAGATGACTGGCGGTACAGTCTTACACTTCGGAGAACGCCAAACAGCTGAAACTGATTTATCTTGAAAAATGGGAACTCTTACCCCAAGCACTGTCACTGTCAGATAATCTGGTGTTGAGTATCGACAGACTGTGCAACGCGATCATTGCAGTTAGAGGAAGTCATATTTCTTACTAAGGCTCTTTGGACTTTTGTTCTCCCATTTGGTCAGACAATGTTTTTGTACGAACGTCATTTCATCAATGCAGCCTTTTCTATTCGTTCCGTACGGTATGCTTCCTATTCATTTTTATGCTGCTGTACTTTTCTTTAAGTACTGCATTGTGCCTCTGTAGTATGAATTCACGTCTCCTAGTTGATTTTTTGTGGAAATATGGCCCGGACTAGAAGAGTTGCTTAAGTTTTGCTTATTAGTGTGTATATATAATACAGGGTGTTTCATAGATCATGGGACAAACTTGGAGGGGTGGTGGAGTGGAGCGTACTAAAACATGCGTTTTTTACAGGTACGTAGGGTCTAAAGTGGCGTGTTAAGGCAGGAACGGGGGGGGGAAAGACACGAGAGGAAAAAGTGTTTATGTACAAAATCAACGCAAAGCGCTTCTTTGCAGCAATAATGTATTCACAATAAATGTTTAAAATTGCCACCACCAGCAGTAATACATGCTTGGTAACGTAGATGGGATTCACGAACATTTTGAAAAACAACAGGTATTTCGGGCACGCTTGCAACCGCAATGGATAGTCGTGCAACGAGGTCCTCCAGTGAGTCAGCGGGAGTCTCGTTAATGATGCTCTTCAGATGGCCCCATAAAAGAAACCAAGCTAAATCAATCTGGCGAACGGGGTGGCCATCGAATGGGTCCACCACGGCCAATCCATCGGCCCTGAAATGTGCCATCCAAGTAATTACGGACCCGCACGTGGTTATGGACTGGTGCACCATCATGCTGGAACCACATGCGATCACGAACGGACAGCCAGAAACATCCCTGCAGCAATGGCGGTAAGCACCTTCTTGCAGAAAAATATGATAACATAAGCAATTTGTACGTGCAAGTAAGAAGTATGGGCCTATGGAGTACTCGTTAACAATACCCGCCCACACATTCACGGAGAAGCGGGTTTGGAATGCATGTGGACGTGTGCCATGTGGATTATGAGTTGCCCACACGTGCATGTTGTGGCTATTGAAGATGCCGTCCTGTGAGAAAGTTGCTTCATCCGTGAATAGAACATCCGACGGGAAATCCACCTGCGCCGCACACTGTTGCAAGAACCAATGACAAAAATGAACTCGAAGAGGGTAATATGTCTCTTGCAAGGCTTGGACTCTCTGCGAATGGTATGGTTGCAAACCATTTTCATGCAATACTCCCCAAACGGTGGAATGACTCAGCTGCAGACGACGTGCAATAGCTCTTGTACTTGTCTGAGGTGATTCATGCACAATGTTCAAGATGGATTCTTCAATGCGAGGTTGTCGTGCACTTCTTCTTCCACTCCTAGTGTCAGAGGTGGCTTTAAATGACCCGTTTTCACACAGAGACCAATGCAACCTCTCGAAAATTGTGTGCTTCAGCATACGCCTGTTTGGAAACCGGTTCTGGTACAACCGTAGCGCTGCTCTGCCGTTCCCATTAGCAGCACCATACATGAGATGCATGTCAGCTTTTTCCCTGTGCATAACCTCACAGTTCACGCTCGACATCAAGAGTTGCGAATGATCCTCTTATGCATCGGATCGTGGTTTGTCCGGCTCAATACCGCCTTCTACCGCTGCATTGCCAGCCAATCACAGCTGTAGTTCCTATTACTGTTCCCTTTTTTGAACATTTATTGTGAATACTGTATTGCTGCAAAGAAGCACTTTGCGTTGAATTTTCTACATAAACACATTTTCCTCTCGTGTCGTTTTTTTGCGTTCCTGCCTTAACCCGTCACTTTAGACCCTACATTCCTATACAAAAAATGCATGTTATAGTACGCTTCACCACCAAGTTTGTCTTATGATCTATGAAACACCCTGTATATTAATTTTATATTTATGATTATCTCCTAGGAAAGGCAATGCAAAATTATTTCAAATTGAAACTAGAGTAGATCTACTCTAGTAGGAAATGTTAATACCTAAGAAGACTGTTTTAAAACTATTAAAAACTCGTAATAAACTTGAAAGAAGTTTAAAATTTATAATGGTAGTGTTTAAATAGACAGAAAAAGAATAGTACATGTATAAAAATAAGGAAGAGCAGTACATACATAAAAAAAAAGCAAGTAAATTACCGCTGATTTCCAGAAAGAAGTTGCCTTATTAAGGGCAATAATCCCCTCCCCACCAAAAAAAAAAAAAAAAAAAAAAAAAAACCGCACTAATTTGAGTATGATCGCATTTCGGCTTCTTCGCATGCTTAATGAATTCTTATACTCGAAAAAAAAAATTATGTATAAAACTTGTATTTAAATGAATCACTAATACCGTACTTACTCGCGTAACAGTCGACCTTTTTTTTTGCCAATTTTTCATTGTGAAAGCCTTGGTGTTATGCGAGGAAATTTAGTACACAATATTGTACACTTTTGGAGATTTTTTTCGCTTCAAAACGGGGGTGCGACTATTACGCAAGGGCAACTATTATACGAGTAAACACGGTAATTTTCAAACATGAAACTAATTCCCCGACGTGTTAAAAAAGAACATATTTACAAAATGATTGTTATAAAACTTTACCGGGAATTTAGAAGTATCAATGCATATAAAACTAATGTAAGAATATTACACAATTTGTTGTTGTGTTGTGACTTATCTCACTTGTCTGATAGTAACTTTATAACAAGCCCATAAAATCCATCGCGGCAAGAAGTGCAAGATTGCCTTCAACAGAATTGAGCACCATACAGGTGACAATACTACTTTTGCTCAGTTCCGCACCCAAGTTTGATGGAAGGCACCCTGTTGGGGACGTGTCCAAGGGAATTACACAAAGGCTTAATATACATACGTACACAAATGTTTTAGAAATCGTCTTCTTCCTGCCTGTATTTTCGTTAGGCCGCTATATAATTTTCTATCAGAAACTGTCAACAACTTTCAGTTCACGTTGAAACTTCCCAGGGCGTTTCTCATTAGGTTCATATTTGACAAAATGATTATCCAATTTTCTGGCCTGTTTCAGACCTGCTTTTATTTATCCTCATTTAGAATTGAACCATTTTATTCGTTATGACTATGTTCTGGGGATTAGGAGTCCCAATGACTACGTCTAACATTTCATTTTCGCTTAGGGAGTTTTTAACTAAAAATCCATCAATATCTTGAAACGATGGATCATCGAAACTTCTTTCACCAACTGTATGTATAGCTGTAATGATGTTGGAAAACTTAGGTATTAGGGATGGTTTGGTTTGGTTTATTTGACTATTACAAAGCACTCAAGAGCTATCTGCCTAAGAGGAGGGATGGCATCGTGGAGGACTTTCTTAGGGAAGCTCGCTCGTATAGACGTTACACATGGGGAAAGCCATGAAAACGCCCGTGCAGCTAGCCCGTTCGCCAAGATTCGAACCCCGGACCGAATTACGAGAGTTCAGCGACTTTATCACTCAGCCTCCCGTATTTAGGAATGATGGGATGTTTGCTTTATACACAAGCCGCTTTCCAACATGGATTCAGAGTTGCTGTTGTAATTCAGTTGACTCTTTTCCAACAATTGATTGATACAATCGATAAACGGGAATTTCTACCATACGACAATGATTATTAGTGTTTCATGATTCAGTTTGCAGAAAACATGTTGGAATGTTCGTTTTACGGAGTATCTTATGTGCGTGCATATAGTGTTGTGCCACAAATAAAAATTCTTTTTCTTAGAATTTCTCCCCACCTCAAAAAAAAAAAAAAAAAAAAAAAAAAAAAAAATCTCAGAGATTAATTTGTCAAGCTCGTGTTAAAATAAAAAGGCATGCGAAAAAAGAGAATGAAACATTTATTTTGAATTTGTGTTTAATAAAACTCGTGTAAAAACAGAATTAGTTGTACTTGGATTTTGCGTTCAGAAAAGTTTAAGATTCCCAATTTCCTTTACCGGTTGCGATGGCACATGTGAAATCCTCCCACGGGCCTCAGAAGTTGACCTTGAACGAGGTCCCCTTTGAGGCCCTCGCCGAGTTCTCTGAACCCGGGCCCCCGACGAAAGGAGAAGACAAACGCAGAAAAATTGAAGACGCCCTAACCTTGCAAACCTGTTGTCTCTCCTTCCAAGCCCCAAATGTACCCCCTTGAAGAGACAGTCGGAGGGACATGCCGTTTGCGGGCTCTTTCGGGGCTTTCGACGGCCGCAGAATGACGTAAGTCGGATTGCATACAACAGCAGCAAGTAAGCGAAATTCTTTCAATCCTTTTTCTCTTATACCGTGACTTCAATTCTGTTGCAGAATTCGATAAACTTAATTAGCAAGATGGTTTTTTTGTAGGGGGGGATTAAATTACTTAAAAAAACTCTCTTTAGTGAATTTTAAGTCATAGATTGCTGGGAAAACTCCATAAAATATGGCATCATAATTGTAGGATACGTTCCCGCGAAAAAAAAAATTTTTTTTTTGTTGCTCATACGAAAAATGTAGCACAGAACAAATACTATATTTCAATTAAATTTCATGATAAACAAGGAAATATAAATCAATATAGCTCCTATAGAATTCCTTTATATATTCTGTAAGTCAGAATGAATATTTGGAAGAATTTTTTGTTACTAACTGCACAACTAAGTGTCTAAAATAATTAATTAGCTTTTGTTTGTGTTGTTATTGTTACGTAAAATAACATGAAGATTTGTTTTCATGAAATAAATTATATTGAAATAATAATTAAATTTTTCCACATAAAATGTACATAATAGGATATAAATTAATGCTTTCTTAAATTTATCTATTTTATTTACGTATTTGTTTAAAATATATTATTCATATATTTATTTTCTTCTGCCATTACCAGTTATTTATACATTTTATTGATTAGCCCAAATGAGCTATTAATTTCGCTTTGGGATTTTGCGTTGAATTACTAGAAAAGGCGTATCACTTTTCAGATTGTTGCCACCAGTATTAGAATCCTGTATTATATTTAAAGAAATTAAATTATGAAGAATCTGCATAAATGTATGCATGTTTCTCGCACTGTGATAAAACCAGGTACCTAGAGCCATCCAGTTTTGAATAACGTAATCTTCCAGCGAATATGGGCATCTGGAAGCCCTAATTGGAGTTTGGAATTTGTTTTATTATCGATTTCATATTTTGTTACACTTTAACGAACTTTTGATTAACAAATTCAGCGATTTCGGGAAAAAGGCATTTTTATCTCCAGCGCGCGAGACTGTGTTGTAGAATTTCTAAAGATATGCACATTTTAAAATTATTTTGCGATATTGCTGTTGATTAATTTTTATGATTTAAGTGCGAAGAACATGATATTTCATAAACAAAGGTATCTATCACACAAAATGTTAAAAAGACGCCCCGTAGGGCGTAATGTAAAACCTGAAAGCTTTCAGATTCTTATTTTTTAACATACTCTTTTGTCTTAAATTTGATTGCCTTTATCTTTTTTTATTTTCGTATTTATTAACTCAGTTATTTTTTAGGATGGCAGAATTTTACTAATTTTAATTGTTTATTTTTGTATTTGCTAACTGATACATTTTTTAGGATGGTAGAATTTTACTAATTTTATTTGTTTATTTTTGTATTTATTAACTCATTTATTTTGAAGGATGGCAGAATTTTACTAATTTTAATTGTTTATTTTGTATTTATTAACTGATACATTTTTGAGGATGGCAGAATTTTACTAATTTTAATTGTTTATTTTTGTATTTATTAACTGATGCATTTTTGAGGATGGAATTTTACTAATTTTATTTGTTTATTTTTGTATTTATTAACTCATTTATTTTGAAGGATGGCAGAATTTTACTAATTTTATTTGTTTATTTTTGTATTTATTAACTCATTTATTTTGAAGGATGGCAGAATTTTACTAATTTTAATTGTTTATTTTGTATTTATTAACTGATACATTTTTGAGGATGGCAGAATTTTACTAATTTTAATTGTTTATTTTTGTATTTATTAACTGATGCATTTTTGAGGATGGAATTTTACTAATTTTATTTGTTTATTTTTGTATTTATTAACTCATTTATTTTTGAGGATGACAGAATTTTACTAATTTTATTTGTTTATTTTTGTAGGTATTAACTCATTTATTTTTAAAGATACCAGGGTTACACAATCTCTACTATTAAAAATCTGTGCGCTTCTGCCTGTTTGTTTGCGACTTTATCTCCTCCGGAACGGCGGGGAGTTCAGTTTCGAAAAAGGTACCCCCCCTTGAATTCCAAAAATTCTTGGGAAGCTATTTCGAACATTCTCATTTTCATACGATTTTGATCAGCCGAGATAGTAATTAAAAAACCTGAAAACGCTAATTTTTGCTGCCATTTTCCCCAGTCGCAATAGTCCCGCACGCTAGAGACAAAAATCTGCTTTATTTCGAAAACTGTTGCCACTGCTCAAATTATGAATTTCAATTTCTGGTCTTTGCGAAATATTAGTTCTAAATTTCTTACTTTATGTTTAGATACATATATAATTTTTCTATTTTTATAACAAATATTTTAGGTTGCTGGCCACGCGAGTGACTTAGTAATAACAAATTTATACTGCTATTTTGGATAATCGGACGTCAGATAATCGAAAGACTACTTACTGTATTAGCAGACATATTTGAATTAAATTCCTGCACATTTTAAATTCATCAAATTTCCAAAATTACTTCGCATTCTTAAAGGAAAAAAAGAGGGTAGTAAAACTGCATGAACAGTTTTAATAAAACCCATTGAAATTATAAATTAGGCCATAGTATTATTGGTCAAATTGCAACTTAATAATAAATGGAAAATTTTAAAATAATACAAGAACTACCAAATTCAAAACGCAAAGAGTCATAAAGCTCAAAAATATGATTTGAAAAATGGCGCCAATCGATTGGATAAATGCCGAATTCCTCAAAACTATATACTATATATGTAGAACTAGCCAAAGCATGCTATCTGCCTAACGGAATAAAACCAGGTGTTTCTCTACTAATTAATAGAATAAACACTAATTAATAATCTACTCACTACTATTACATGCATGCATACACATAATAATTCATATTAAAACTGTGAAACTTAGACACTTCGCAAATGACCGTCTGCCATATTTTTCGGCAATATTTCAGAAGAAAACCATCTGGTTTGTCTTCGTAAAACAAACACTCCAAGGCCTCATTTTAGTAGGCAACGTCCACCACCTCACCCGAAGACCAACAAAGCTTATCAAGTGTGTGCAGAGGGGGGTATGGAAGACAACTACCATCATCACTTATCGTGAGCAAAAAACAATACGTATTCCAAACATGCACCAGACAAATCGGCGTCTGCAGAATAGAAGACAATTTTGAGATGATAACGCTTCTGATTTATTTTTATCGGAAGTAAAGAATAAAACTAACTTAAAAAAATAAGGCTGTTGATTCATTATCGGTGTCCGAATCATGTATATTAAGTTATCGTAATCTAATACCAATCGAAAAAAAAAAAAAAAAAAAAAAAAAAAAAAACTGACCAAAGCAGGTGGTTCCTCTTCCCCTTTAAAAAAACAGATGTAATTTCACGTAAAGTCAGATCACGTAACGTTCGCCATTTTTGTTTTTGTTTACAGTCCAGCTTATGAATAACTAACTATGATAATCTGAACACCAGGAGAACAGTTTTGATTTTAAGAAAGAGATATATAATATCTAAGAAAAATTACATTAAGATGGTATGTATAGCAGCAATGACAAATTTAATTACAACACTTCAATGCAAATTTTTTGTTGTTGTAGCTGTGGCTTTATATTTTGGCTTATTCTTAATAGACATAAATGTTAGTCGATTAATTTATTATAGCAAAACACACGATAGCTACTTGCTCTAAAAAAATACTTTTCGGGATCGGACACTGGAATGTTAGAGTTCCACGAATCTTGAAAAAGACTAGTGTGCAAAAATATGAATCTGTCATTTTTTTACGTCATTCGCATCTTTCGAATTCTAATTTAAAAATTTAATTTAACTTTTAAGCATTTTGAATCAAAATTTAAATTAAATAAAAATTTAGGTATGTTCACGTCCAATAGAAGCAACATTCGTTTAAAAAAATTACAAAATAGCAGGTACTTAAAACTCATGGAATAATTAATGAAATGGAAGGGGAAAAATATAATTGATTATACAAGTTTGCGAAAACAAGAAATTAAATGACTTTGTTTAATAATTCACTTACAATTTTATATCACCAGTAATAAAAGCGTGGGGTATCCTTGATACATTTATAAAAATAACTGTAAGGGCTTTCTATAATGCAATTCTATGACTAAATTTCGTTATTTAGTCGCCCACACTTTTATTTTAATTGCCATATAAAATTGTAAATGAATTTTATAAAGATACGCATTTAATTTCTCGTTCTCATGAAACTACATGAAAAATTATTTTTTTCCTTTAAGTTCATTAATTATATTATAAATTTTAAATAAAATATTATTTCATAAAAACATTTTTTTTATTTTTATAAAAAGGATTAAATCTTAAAAAATCTAAATCGAATTTTGAAACAATCACCACATTGTATTGTCATCCATAAATAGTGGGTGTACAAAATTCGAACTCGATAGCCTTATCAGCAACTAGTTTAAGAATCGATGACAAATTTTTGTCCATAGCGACAAGCACCATGAATCAGCTATATAAAAAGTTATAAATAAAAATATTAGATTCAGTATTATTGCAAACAACTTTAAACTTTAATAAAGTTTTATTAAGAAGAATTATTCTGTTAATAATATTTTGTAGAGCTGTTAATGCTGATCAAAAAAGAATCAGTCGATTCCGAGATACTTCTTGATCGTAGCATACATACGAGTGAATCACGAATTATTTATAGGTAATATAGTTAGATTCTTGCTTTATACTTTTATTGCGCAATCGTATATCATGACGTCAACCATAAGAAATAGAAGGGTAACAATACTTACAAAAAGACTCCAGTGTCCTTCATGTAATATTACGGTTACCGCAAACGCAATATTTATAAGTTCTATGTATTGAAAAACTGAAAATAAAATGAACTATTAGTTTAATGTATTGTATACAAAGTTGCTAGCTGCGACCAAAGATAAATTTATGAGTTCTATGTGCGCCTAAGAAAATACATAAAAATATTTCATTACGAATGAAGTCAGTTCATTCTTCTCCAGCACCACAACAATTTCGTAAATAATTTTTTG